CACACACACACACACACACACACACACACGCACACACACGCACACACACTCTCACACACGCACACTCACACACACACACACTCTCACACACACACACACACACACACTGCTGACCAGCACAAGTTTTTAAAGCAGGAAACATTGTTTTATCATGCACTGGTCAAATTTTTGATTTTGGGCTTTTTGGCATGACATTTCTGGTGAATAACGTAAACAAAATAACTAATAGACATCAGCATACTTTCCCAGTTGATTGATTAAATTAATTGCAGACATGCAATATTTATTTGCATAAATATGCAAAAGAAGCATTATCTAATTAAATATGCACTTATTTAAATATGCACTTATAAAAACACATATTTTTCACAATTTGTAGGAATAAAATGTTGTATAAAATCAGGCAAATGATATATGATGAACAAAGCCCTTTTATAAAACCCTTCAGAATACAGATAGGAATAAAACTGTATGTAAGTGCTGCCGAAGTGGAGAACAAACTCACAGCCTGTAAAGATATGTGTTGAAATCTACAGATGCAAATAGATAAAGTGCAATGAAATGAACACTTAAAACACTTTGGATGTTACAAAAAAAAAAATGGAAATTGCGAGATTTCATTTCTTTTTGAAGAGCTTGTGAATGACTTCTAGTTTGTGGACTTTTGCTGTTTGTCTCTGAAGTCAAAGATGTTGCCATGTTTGGTCTGTTGTACTGCTACAACAGTAAAACGGATGACAAAAAAATCTGTTTTTTTTGTTTAATCAGATAATTATCATTCTTTTTTTTTCATACTCTTTTCCTTGTATATATAAAACAATTCGCATACGTTGTTGTATTCCTGGTGTTTCGTGAGAGCTGTGATTTAGTCTTCAAAGTGATCTTCTTTAATAACATCAGCAGACTAGGTTTGGTTTTTAAGTGAGGTTTTGTGGTTTCTCTGTCAGCTGGAGCTGATCACGGCTCAGGCCATGAAAGCCGGGTTCACAGGCGGGATGGTTGTCGACTTTTCCAACAGCAGCAAAGCTAAAAAGTAACTATTCAGCTCGATATTTTCTTGATCATTGATCAGCAAACACATCTTTATTGTAATGTGCTGGAGGATCATAACGAGTGACACTTCCATCTTTTTCAACATAGATTTTTCCTGTGTTTGTTTGCTGGTGTATCAGGTGTCTTACCCAAGGTGTGTACAGCCTCAGGATGAACACACACACACGCACACGCACACAAACACACACGCACACACACGCACACAAACACGCGCACACACACACAGAGACACACACACACACACACGAGTGAATACAGCATGTTCATGATGAGCTTGTTTCTGTTGTTCAGGGTTTAGGTTCAGAGTCGACTGACAGAGGCGTATCAAATCAGGCTCAGTTCACAGCACAGAGGTAAACATGAATATATTATTTCACCCATATTTTGACATTTTATTTTCACAAACATTATTAGAAACATTAAAGTAGACACTTTACTTGCGTTCCATGCATATGAAATCACATGTAAATTTCATGTGATGTGAACAGCAGTGTGGGCTTTGACCCATATACAACTTTATGACGATCAGGTTTACATTTTGGATTTTCAAGCAACATACTTCATACTCTGTATTACAGATCACTGTAGCATGTGATTTCTGGCACTAAAGTGTTTCCTCACCGTCTGCTCTTTCTAAAGGTCCCGTTTCAGAAATATGAAAGGAAAGTCTGTGAAGAAGAGTAAGGACTGGATCATGGAAAAGAAGGAAAGACGACGCCGGCAGGGGAAGTATGTTTAAGCTTTTGTTACTTTAAATGTTTCACTGTTTCAGCTTAAGAACTCATTAACTGTAGTGATCTGCTACTTCCACCATTATACTGAATGCATCGGTTCCTGTCTTCAGTGGACAGTTCCTGTTTATTCACTGCTGACAGAGACAAGTAATAAAGGATTTGGAAACTGGAAACACTAGGAAATCCTTTGAGGAAGTTATGCCATTTTTAGAAAGTGCTCATTGTTTTTAGCAGTTGTTGTATATCTGATTTACTCTTGATGTTCAGCTGTGTTGTGTCTGTTTCTCTTCTCTCAGGGATGTAAGGGCCGACACGAAGTACACGGCTCGTCACAGAAAACCTCGCTTTTGATCCCTCGACTTCTTCATGTGAGCGTCTCGCCTTCACTGCAAATACTGTAGACTGTGGGCTATTCAGTCTCCTGGATCCAGTTACGACTCATATCTCTATTGACCAATCAGAAGCCAGAACTGTGTGCTTTGAGGAAATATATTACAGAATAGTAAACCCATGTGGAGAGAGCCTTTTATAAAGAAACAATTAAAGGACTTGTCTTATAGGAGCTGCATGTGGATTATGCTTGAATTAACAGAAGCCGTAATAAACCAGATTTCATCTTCTCAGTTGTGATTCTTAAATAAGCGTGCATATAGTTTACAGTGAACCTGGAGCAGTGCATTATCTCCAGCAAATATGTTTCAAAAAGAGCTTAAAGGTCACTTACAAAGACCGTGTGAATGCAAGAGATTTGGGTTGTTTATCAAGATTTAATGATTTGTGCATTCATTGAATTTGACATTGAGTTTCATATTTTTTGCTGTGGTGCAAAAAAAGCTAATTTCCCATATTAACCACTAAAATAAAAGTACAAGTTTTATTTTCATTAAGACAAGCGTAAAGTGACAATTCACATGCTGTTTGTTTGTATGAAGTAGTGTGCCAGATAACAGAATAAATGATGAGTTTTCATCTGCGCTGTAAGCCTGAAGTGCTCTTTACTTTAAACATGTATTTATAAGTTCTCAGCATGTGTTGTACACAAGTAGTGTATACTAACAGTGCGCAGCCTGCATAGGGCGCCAGCAACAATAACATGAGCAAGTACCGTTTCAGAGTTTGTAATATTTTCCAACAGAATTATTGTTTTGTAAATTTAAAGTGAGCACAATGGCATACATTATAAGTAAATTTATATTTTCATGATTTTATACCTATATATTTAAAATAAAATGTAAAAGAAAAAATACAAGGAGGGTTACATTACATTAAAATAACGTAAAGCTTATGCTGGCTAATATTACACCATTACATGCAATTGAAGTTTTACATTTCCTTAAATAATTCAAATATACATCCAACATATTTCTTGAAAACAAAAAGGAATGTAACATTTGACAAGAAAGAGTAAATATAAACTTGAAATGAGAGGGGTCACCAAAAACACTTTTTCTGGCAAATATAGAAGTTTGAAGATAAATGATTTTTTTTAAATTTTATTATTATTATTTTTTTATCAAATTTGAAAAGTCAACCCAAAATACTTTGAAATGAACAGAAATGCTATTAATAAAATTTAGCACGTTTATAATTTACTGGGTAACTATTATGAGTAATTTTAATAGAGACTTCAGCAGCTTTGTTAGAAAAATTGTCAAAGAAGCCAGAAATCTTCCCATTCTATATCATGAAACTTTACACAAGCAGGTAAAGAAATCTGAGATCTGTTAAGAGCTGATCACATTCTTCGTTTGATGTGCTACTGAAAATACATCAGTGTTGTCTGAAATAGGAGGAGAGCATGAAGGATCTGTAGGTTTGAAATGATCACCGATTGCATACCTTCTTGGGGGGGGGGATTGGAAAAATAATTATTGGATTACAAAATTGTAAGAAAACAGGACTAAAAGTCGATCCACTAAAGGAGTATTCTTATCAAACCAATTCTGAAAAATAGTGATTTTTTTGTTTATGTGGAGAATAAATGGGACGGATTTTTCAGTCACTGTTATATATTTTCTGAAATATGAGTTGTGTTTTTTATCATCTGAAATGTGCTGCTTCTTACATTCCAAAGCGACTCGTATGCAATAGGCAATTAACGTCAAGCAACCAAAACATGTGCATTGCATGCACACATCTGTACTGGTGCAGAATGGGAGGCGCATTTCACACAGGCTGCTGGTTTCACTTTTGCTTTAAATAAACGTATATAGGTTTGACGTGTAAAATAAATGTTGTTTTTAGTGAATGTCCCTATTGTTTTTTTGCTTGTTTTATGTTTACGATTAAGTTATGCATGTGTTAAAGGAGCGAACAGCAATCAAGATCATGCAACAGAAGTGCGCGCGGTCTCTCTCTCTCCCTATCATAGAGTAACTTTAGTAACTTGTGCATTGTTTTACTTAACCTACTTGCTTTTGACATGTCCGACCGAACTACAAACGGTCCAGTGATGTCTGTGAGAAAGAGATATTGGCTCGTGCAGTCTACTCATCAGGTGTGAATATTAAATGTTTAACATTCTATTAATTACACAGGCCTACATGTACTTCATAGACATCCCTAATCTCTAATATAACTTCATTCTGCTCTGTTTGTTCTGTTGTTGGTGTTTCTTTGTCTGGACCAGTGTTGGGCTAGTTACTCAAAGAATGTAATATATACTAGTTACTCCTTTCAAAAGTAATATTGTTACTTTACTTATTACTTTCTGGCAACAGTAATTAGTTACACTACTAGTTACATTACTTTTCCTTCATGCCCCACAGAAGTAACTGTATCTTCCACATAAAATTCTTATAGAATGTTACTAACAACATATTTCTGCCTCATCATTTGACCAAAACCCACACTGGATCGCAGTCAGAAGTTATTACAAACACTCAATAGTGATTAATCGTGACATTCAAGTAGAAGTGTTGTATTAATCTCATTAATTGTCATGTGTAGCTTGAAGCTAATTGTCATTTCTCCGTTACCCATATACGATTATATTTCATTATGTATTTTATCAAATCACATAAGTTTGTAAGAAACTGTTTAATTTTCCAAAAATATTTTTAATTATATTAATATAATGTACCACATGCTGATCAGAGGGATGTAATGTCAGAGTAAAGTAAAGCCACAACTTACACAACAGTGCTCAGATCATCTTTTTTCCTGACAAAATCAATATAATGCAATATTTCTATCTGCTGAATGTAAGCTTTTCCATATTCCAAGCTTGCCTGCTGCACTGGGGACATCATCGTGAAATTATGATGAAATAATTTTCATAATAATTTTATTATGAATACGACCCCCCCCATGATAAAACATGCTCAAGTATGTAAACTTGCAGCAGAACACATTAATATTATTTTAAATTTGATTATTTATAATTATTAATTATTATTATTAGTCTTTTTTGACAGTTCTGCAGCTGTTACCTGGATGAGATGAATTTTTATTATTATTTTTTTTTTTTTATTAATTTGCTTGCATTAGGACGACATTATTATGTAATTATTTGTCCCATTTTTATCTAAACAATTTAGCATTTTTTTTTATTTATTAAAATTGTATATGACATATATGATTATTTATTATGTATATATTTGTGATTAATATCAATGATAAATTAATAAATAGGGCCTAACATTAATTATAATATATTAATTTATCTGTCTAATCATGTCTAAAAATATAATAATTATGTCTACCAAGCTCTGATAATGTATGGAATATTATATTAACAGACTACCCAAATTTTAATAAAACAATAGGCCGATACCTTTAGAAGCACAGATGTGTCTGTCACTTTAAAGGTTGTTCTAAACCTGCATAAAGTCAAGTCAAGTCACCTTTATTTATATAGCGCTTTTAGCAATACAGATTGTGTCAAAGCAACTGTACAGCATTAATTAGAAAAGTAGTGTGTCAATAATGCAAAATAACAATAGTAAACACTCAGTCTTCAGTTAAAGGCAGTTCATCATTGAATTCAAATTATGTCTACCAAGCTCTGATCATGTATGGAATATTATATTAACAGACTACCCAAATTTTAATAAAACAATAGGCCGATACCTTTAGAAGCACAGATGTGTCTGTCACTTTAAAGGTTGTTCTAAACCTGCATAAAGTCAAGTCAAGTCACCTTTATTTATATAGCGCTTTTAGCAATACAGATTGTGTCAAAGCAACTGTACAGCATTAATTAGAAAAATAGTGTGTCAATAATGCAAAATAACAATAGTAAACACTCAGTCTTCAGTTAAAGGCAGTTCATCATTGAATTCAGTCAGGTCATCATCAGTTCAGTTTAAATAGTATCTTTGCAATCACTTGCAATCAAGTCAACAATATCGCTGGAAATGAAGTGTCCCCAACGTTTAATAGTCACTGTGCAATCAAGTCGATGATATCGCTGGAAATTAAGTGTCCCCAACTAAGTAAGCCAGAGGAACCAAAACTGCATCGGTGACAGAATGGAGAAAAAACCTTAGGAGAAACCAGGCTCCTCTGGCCAGACGAAACCAGCAGTTCAGATCCAGGCTGCAGCAAAGTCAGATTGTGCAGAGGACTCAACTAAAGTTCTTTCTTCTGTTGAACACAAAAGAAGATACTTTGAAGAATGTGTCTCAACTAAACAGCTGCTGGTTGTAACTTCTATAGAAAGGTAAAACAAAAAAATACTATCAGAGTCATTGGGGACCAGAAACTGTTTGGTTACCCACATTATTTAAAGTATCTTCTTTTATGTTCAACAGAAGAAATAAACTATTACAGGTTTGGAACAACTTGCGGGTGTGTAAACGATGACAAAATTTTCATTTTTGGGTGAACTATCCCTTTAAGTCAGACAGTCCACCGTGAGCAAGCTTCTCTGCAAACTGTGCGTTCATCATTAGTTACAGGACAGACCCATTAATAACTTTCCCGTTCAGCCCTACATCTGGAGAGTCTTGTGTTCAAAGGGCGAACGTGAGCTCCAGATGTTTTAAACCGTGCAGGTTTGTTTACCGCATGCTGCGCTCGTGTGGAAGGGATTTAACGGCGCACGTTCTGGGGCCGGTTGCATAAACTGCTTAGACTAGTCTTAAAAAGTTAGCCATCTAATTTGTTTTCTTCTAGACTGGTCATATAGTCAGTTACAAAAACGTAGATTGGCCCAATTTTAATAAGAAAAATTAGACTGATTATCTCTTGGCTAACTGCTAGTTGGTCAACTAGTTCTTAAGACATAGTCTTAACATAGTGGCGATGTTTATGCAACCGGCCCCTGGAGACTCGTTGCTATGGAAACAAAGACGCCAAAATCACGCGCAAATGAGCTTCTCTAATACTTCTTATGAAATTGATTTCATTATAATTGCTATTAGTATTATAAACAGTGCAAAATACTTATTTGTTTATTCAAATATGTGTTGGCCTTTGGACAAATCATGTCCCGTATTGATTTGACACGGGACGCGTCATTTTACCTTTAAATATGGGACGATTCCGTATTTTAAGGGACGTGTGGCAACCCTAGTTCACATGCTGTGAACTGAGCATTTTAATGAGTACGAGTACGAGTACAGGATACCAGTATCGTATCGGTGCATCCCTACTTTTCAGCATTCTGGCGACCAG